GTCCCACTGTTTTCTCCTGCCCTGATGTCCAGGATGCAGCCAGCCCGGCTGCCTTTGTGGGCACCTCCATAGTACTGCCGTCTGGGGCCTTTTCTGCAGTTGCTTGATTTCTTCATGAAATGGAGGCCAAGCCTCTTAGCCTGGCATGCGTGAAAAGCTTTTTTGTCTTTTACTTTTCCCACCCATACTAACACCTTGGAAACTGCCTTCCCATTCTTTATATTAGGAACCGTGAGTTTCCATTTGACTTGCTGGTCCTTGGGAGACCTGCTTGTCACTTCAGGCTTCTACCTGCTCTAGGGTGAATTTGCATCTCCACTTTTCCCTAGCCAACTCCAACTTACTGTCAGAGCACCTGAATTTTCCCACAGCTGAGAAAAGAGGTCCAGCTGGACCCAGCGCAGAACATAGGCGCCTAACTCATCATACCGTGACGCTGTTGTCTTTCTCTGTCTCCACGCTCAAACCCTGCAGGGGTGTTGGGCTGAGCAGAAGCAACTCAAGGAGCCGAGTACATCAAAGACAAGGACACTTATCTCGCGCCAGGAACACCTGCTGGCCTTGGAACACCAAGCAGAGTCCCAGAGCTGTCTCTCCTTCCTGCCTCCCTCTGGCCACAAACAGCAGGGGAGAGCGCCGCTAGTCTCAATACTGTCTTTGCCAAGGTCAGACAGACGCTCTTATCCAGAAATGTTTCCAATGCTGAGTCTGTGCAGAAGATCAACCCCCGCCATGAAGACGCATCGCGGTCACAAGCATGCGCACACTGAGGCGCCCCCACCTCCCCCATCCCTCACACCCCAAAACGTGTGAAAAGCCCAGTGCTGCGCACCCTGGCGGCCATTACGCTCATGGTTCACTCTGCCATGAGCTAGTCCCGGACTTTCTCCCACCAGGGAGCTCTGGGTCAGACTCTTCTCCCACCATCCTCTTCTATCTCCTCCCTTCAACCCCTGGGGGCAACTTCTCACACCAACTGTCTGCTTCAGACCAGTGAGCCTTGCCTGGCAGCATTCCTAATAAAGCCTGGGGTTTTTTGTTTGTTTTGGTTTGTTTTTTTTTCTAAGATTTGTTTATTTTTACTGAAAACTCAGATATACAGAGGGAAGGAGAGACAGAGAGGAAGATCTTTCATGCAGTGATTTACTGCTCAAGCAACCACAATGGCTGGAACTGAGCTGATCTGAAGTAGGAGCCTGGAGCCTCTTCTGGATTTCCCATGCTGGTGCAGGGTCCCAAGGCTTTGGGCCATCTTCAACTGCTTTCCCAGGCCACAAGCTGTGAGCTGGACGGAAGTGGGGCTGTCGGGTTTAGAACCGGTGCCCATATGGGATTCTGGCACATGCAAGGCAAGGATTTTAAGCGGAACTACATTCTCTATGGACTTCTGGTTCTGAACTCAAACTCAGACCTTGTAGGGGGTACAAAGTTCTTACTGAATGAATGATATAGTGAAGGAGAGTATGGGCCACTGGCTTACTGAGAAAATGCACCAGTGGAATGTATTTGGAATTTTTTTTAAGATTTATTTTATTTTATTGGCAAGTCAGATATGCAGAGAGGAGGACAGACAGAGAGGAAGATCTTCCATCTTTTGATTCACTCCCCAAGTGGCTGCAATGGCTGGAGCTGAACCAATTTGAAGCTAGGGGTCAGGAGTTCTAACGGGTCTCCCACACTAGTGCAGGGTCTCAAGGCTTTGGGCAGTCCTTGACTGCTTTCCCAGGCCACAAGCAGAGAACTAGATGGGAAATGGGGCTGCTGAAATTAGAACCGGTGTCCATATGGGATCCCGGAACATGCAAGGCAAGGACATTATCCACTAAGCTACCACACCGGTCCCCTGTACCTGGACATTTTTTTTTTTTTAATTGCAAAGTCAGATATACAGAGAGGAAAGACAGAGAAGAAGATCTTTCGTCCGATGATTCACTCCCCAAGTGAGCATGATGGCTGGCGCTGAGCTGATCTGAAGCCAACAGCCAGGAGCCTCATCTGGGTCTCCCATGCAGGTGCAGGGTCCCAAGGCTTTGGGCTGTCTTCGACTTGCAGGCCACAAGCAGGGAGCTGGCTGGGAAGTTGGCCTGCTGGGATTAGAACCGGCACCCATATGGGATCCCAGTGCGTTCAAGGTGAGGACTTTAGCCACTAGGCCATGGTCCCGGGCCTCATACCTGGACTTAAAACATCTTTAGGGGCACAATTCCTTCCAATTTTCTTTTCCTTGAAAGCTGAACTTCCCAGCACCGGCAGAAACCCAGAGCTTTCTGTCTTTAGACAGATTTTGTGATTTATTTATTTTAATGCTTGCATGAAGTTCAGCTGAATTCATACTTAAAATACTATGCGTGAAGCCAAGAGGGAGGCATTCCTTTATCTTTGTGGCTCCTGTGTCTCCCTTGTATGTCTGCATGCATGGTGATTCAATGTTTTAACTTTTACATGGTGGTGATGGGGATGGCTATGAGGACGCACATGTGCGCAGTAACTGATAACATTTTCCTTCATAGGTCTACTTCTACTTCCCCTTCTCCCACACGGAACTACACACTGACTAACCCACACTGGTTAACACTACAGCGCTGTGCTCAAAAGCAGTTGCCGAAACTGGCATGAGCCAACTAGCATTGCCAGGTTCCTTCTCCAAGATAGGTTTTCCTTTTATTTTTCATTTCGGGGAGGCCCACCACAAGGATGGTGTGATCCTGTCTCATCCTGGGGACTGGCGTCTCTCCATGCTCTGTCCCTGGTCTGGCCTCTTTGCCCAGGACAGGCTCCCAGGAAGTGTTAGCTCCCCAGTTTATTCATGGGATGAATCCCTCCATGCTTTCTCATTGTGGGTTGCTTTTTTCCCACATGCTCTGCACACATCCAGACTCCCATGGTGGTGACCTGTTTGCTGCCAAAGTGGATGCACTGACGCGGAGAGCAGGGGCAGCTTGCAACCTGGGGCCTCCTTGCAGCTCACGTGGAGTAGGCAGCCAAAGTACCACTGGGTCATCTGTGTTTCTTGCAAAGATATTGAAACACCATTTGTTATGAAAAAGAAGGATTTAGAGCGACTGTGCCTAACAGAAAGAACTTCCTCCATCCTGCAAGATACCCAAATTTGAGACTCAGGTAAAGTGACAAATCCAAAGACTTTATTTTTTTATTTATTTATTTGAAAGAATTACAGAGAGAGAGGGAGAGAGATCTTCCAGTCCACCAGTACATTCCCCAAAGGGCTGCAACACTCAGATCGAACCCAGGAGCCAGGAGCTTTGTCGGGGTCTCCCATGTGTGTGCAGCCCTTAACTTGGAGCTGGACTGGAAAGTGGAGCAGCCGGTACGTGAACTGGCAGCCCATGTAGGATGCTGTTTTTGCAGGTGTCAGCTTTATCTGCTATGCCACAGAGCTGCTCCCCTCCCCCCATGACTTTAAGGCTGCAATCACGACTGGGGTTAAATCGCTTTCCCCAGCTGTGCTGGAGTCCTTAGGAAGCCTGTGTTCTCAATGCAGGTGCATGCCCACACCCTCCTCCCACCAAATCAAGAGGACTCCAGGGACAATGCCGGCAAGATTATTCAGTAAGCTTCATCAGCACACAGATTCTTTCTCCCTTTGTACTTCTTGCTGCAACCAGATTTGCTGTTTTCTTTTTGCTTGTCATTTGGAGCAATTTGGCAGATCTTGAATAGTAAGCTCTCCAACATAGACTTCAGTACCCTTGAACTCCTGGCATTTGGTTGATTTGAAATTCTGGTGGGGAATCGCAAGGGGGAACATCACCCTAGCAACTTGCTTGGAGTTTGGAATCTTTTTCTTTTTTTAAAGAGAGATCTTTGTTTCTTTTCTTTCTTTCTTTCTTCTTTTTAAGATTCATTTATTTTTATTGAAAGGCAGATATACAAAGAGGAGGAGAGAGGAAGATCTTCCATTCGATGACTTACTCCCCAAGGGGCCACAAGGCGATCTGAAGCCAGGAGCCTGGAGCCTCCTCCGGGTCTTGCACGCGGGAGCAGGGTCCCAAGGTTTTGGGCCGTCTTTGATTTCTCAGGCCGCAAGCAGGGAGCTGGATGGGAAGAGGGACTCCCGGGATTAGAACCGTTGCCCTAATAGCATCCCCGCGCGTGCAAGGCAAGGACTTTAGCCGCTAGGCTATCACGCCGAGTCCTAAAAATAGTATTTTTAAACTCAACTTTTCCTTGTTGGGTTTTGCCTGTTAACTTCCACAATAACGTGACTTACTATTTCTGATTAAGGGCACTTGGCTGGTCGGGGTAGGTTCTCAAATCCCTTAGGATCTCGGTTTCAATTGCAGGACAATAACTTTGGCAGCTTCACAGCCTCGTAACACAATCCAATCCAGTGTGTCATGTGGCCCTAGCAACCACTTTCTGGCCATGTCGTCCTTCCTTAAGAAATTTAAGTCGCACCCGTATTTCCCCCCTTGTTCCAAATCTGAACCCCAAACGTCCATACGTGTTCGTAAATCAACATCCGTGAGTCACTTGGCTTGTCCATCAGTGGTCACGAGCCAGTGTCCGACAAGGGCGTTCCTGGCTGGGATGACTTACAACCCTAAACCTAGTTCTGCCTTCCAGGATGTCTTGAGGCGCCCAGCCGTGCCTTGCAGGGCCCTTGCGTCCGTAAGCGGTGTGCAGATGTTTAATCCTGCAGCGGGCATGGGTAGGTACAGTGCCACCCCGAAGCATGTCCTTGACACACATGCTATTTTCTGGGAACAGTAATTGCGCTGGGAAGCGGAGATAAACAGCTCCCAGCGGGGTCGGACGGCGGCATCCCAGCGCGCACCTCGCTGTGTTAGCAAGACACCTAGGGATCCGGCTGCACGAGGCCCGGGGCCGAGGGGAAGGCCCGGAACCCCGGCGCGGCAGGCGGCCACCCACTGTTTGTTTACTCGCGGCTGCCCCGAGCCCGCGGTGACGTCACGACCGGCGGGTCACGTGCCCTCCCCGCCCCCCGCGCCGCGCCTGCGGTTCTCGAAGTCGGAGCCGCGGCAGGCGCTCGGCGCTCGTGAGGAGATCGCGGAGCCAGGCGGGCCGGCTGACCAGGAGCCGGCAGGCACAGCACAAGCTCTGTCCACTAACTCGGGGCGCCACTGCACCCGCAGTCGGGAAGCGAGATGAAGATGGTCGCGCCCTGGACGCGGTTCTACTCCAACAGCTGCTGCTTGTGCTGCCATGTCCGCACAGGCACCATCCTGCTCGGCGTGTGGTACCTGGTGAGCGTAGCCCCAGTCTGCAGCGCACCTGCTGGGCCTGGCCGGGCGAGGCGTTGGGGGGGTGGTCCCCGAGACCCCAGGATCCCGTCCTCCTCCCCGGCCGGCGCCCTCGCTTTACTCTCCACGCCTCCAAGTTCGCGCCCGGGGCGGCCTCAGGGTTGGGTGACGCGGGCGCTCATCCGCCTAAAGTTGTATTCTTAGAAACTTAATACTCCCGGCGAGGCTGAGCGCGCGGGGTGAGGGGCCCCGGGTTGGGGATGGCGGTCCGGGAATGGAGCTCAGATCCCGGGTGCTCCCGCGTCTTGCCCTTGCCTAACTCCTGCGGCTCGCTGGGTGTGCGCGTGCGGGAGCCGAGGAGGAGGTGCGGGGCACCGCCGGCTCGGGGTGCAGGCCCGCAGACTTGGGGTGCCCGCTTCTCTGCGCACTTGGCGGGCGCGGGGTTGAAGCGCTGCGGGGTGTGTTGTTCACAAGCCTGGGGGTCTCGGCAAAGATTTTTTTTCCCCCCGTGTGCGGTCCTGCGTGTGTGTGAGCTGGCCCGGGGAGGCCATTTTCCGCCCACTCCCTGGGTCCGATCCTTTTCCCAACTGACCCCGCGGGGCATGTGCGACGCCCCGCCCTCCCAGGTTGGAGCGGGTATGGTCTTCTTTGTGTTGGGAGCCGTGCCCGACGGGGGTCCTGAGGAAACTCGATGGAGTCTTGTCCTCCCCGCTGCCCTGGGCTCCCCGCGAGGAATGTGGGTGCACGCGAGGAGTGTGGGTGCACGGACTGCGCCAACTCAGGGGAGAGGGGATGCCCCCTGCGTTTTGGGGTTTGTGGTATCCTGGTGGAGCGGTAGACCCTAGCCACAGCTCATTGAAGAGGGAATGCCTGCACTTAGCTCTTTAGCAGGCTCTTGGGGCTGGCTTCTGTGGAGTGTTCCTTTTTATTATTAAAATGTGATCAAGTCTATGGACTCCTTTCTTGTGCTATTTTGAGCAAAACTCCCCTTCTCCCCTGAAGTGTTTACTGTGTTATTTGTAATTTTAAGTTATAAGACATTTTTTTTTTGGCCTCTCAAATGCATCTTTTAAGTATGTGCGGGTGCTGCTGACCCGCGCAGTGTGTGCACAGGTTGGGCACCCGCGTATTAGCCCAATCCTGACTTGGCGCCCAAGGCATTCTTTATTGAAATGTGGAATCCTAAAGCCGCGAGAGGAGGTGGCTTCGGAATAGCTCTGCTTCTCCTGGTGGAGCCAGATTGTTCTCCGCAGATGCTGAAAATGCTCGATCTGCAGACTTTCGAGTCAGTGAATGTGATTTGTGAAATCCAGGGCACTGCATTAGGCAAATGTACGACATGATGTACAGGAAAGATGAATCTGCTTGAGCCTGTTGCTGGCCCAGGTCCAATCAGACAGTTCTTGGGGTAATAAAAGGAGGGTGCCCAGCTGGCTTTGTCCACTGAGTGAGCAGCTCTGTGCAAAGTAGTTGTTGGTGGGCCTTGCATTTGGAAAAAGACTTTTGCAAGAGAAAATGAGGGTTGGAAATGCTGCTTTAGGTAGAAAACCCAATACGTAGAAAACCTGTTTTTAACATTTCATAAACAATATTGAAGCCTTTCTTCAAGTAGAGAGTTTATACCTTTAAATTTACCTTGATCACCCCAAAACTTTGATTTCTATGAACATTTAAAGATCCTTTACCTTTTTTAAATTTAAAAGCCAGAGCAAGAGAGGCCACTGTTTAATCCACTAGTTCATTCCCAGAATAATAGCTGGGGTTAGGGTGGACCAAGGGCAGGACCTGGAGCTCCATCCAGGTCTCCCACCAGGGCTTCAGGAACCTGGCCAAGCCCTCACCTGCTGAATTGCAAATGGAGAAGCTGGGGTTCAAACCAGTGCCCCCCCCCCCCACTCCCAGGGATGATGGCCCCACAAGCCTTGGCTTAGCTCTTGCTACCACAGTTAAGCACAAGATTAATTTTCACATGTTCCTAATGAGTTTGATTTTCTTACTCCCTCTGTATAGATGAGAAAACTAATGTTAAGGGAACTTAGGTAATATAATTACAGCTTCAAGGTTGGTCATATTTGTCTCTTTCTATCCTTTCTTTTAACCTTTATAACTTATGTTTTTGTTTCCTTCAAAACTGCAATAAACAGGATTTCAGGCACTTCGATATTTTTTCCCTGTTTGCTCATTTTTCCTTTGTTTTAGGGGTGTCATTTACCTACAGTGAGAGAAATGAAAGGTGTTATATGTCCCATTCATTGAGCTGGCAAGTGGGTGTGCTTGTTACCCACCCTCCTGGAGCGCATTTCCCAGATCTCAGAAAATTTCTTTGTGTCTCTGCCCATCTGATCTTCCTCTCATGTGCCCATGTCACTCATCAGCTACGTTTTGCCTGTTCTGAGTGGAACTTTGCTGTGTGTGGATTTTTGTATCCAGCTCCTTTCAGTTAGCCCAGCTTCTTTTAGATTCATTCATGTTTTGGTGGTGTATCAATAGCTTGTTCCTTCTTGGGGCCAAGTGTTATTTTATTCTACAAGGATGCCATGGTTTGTTGATCCATTTGCCTGATGTTAGACATTGGATTGTTTCCAGCTTGGAGCTATTATGGATACAGCTGCTCGGAAATGTTTGCAGAAGCCTTTCTGTGGACATACGTTTTTATTTTTGTTGGGTAAATACCCAGGCGTGGAATTGTTGGTCTTTGAGTAATGTATGATTTTAAGAAATTGCTAGGTGGTGGTGTGGTGGTGTAGTGAGTTAGCCACTGTCTGCAATGTGGATACCTGTTATTTTTATTTATTTTTAAAGATTTATTTTTTTTAAAGATTTATTTTTATTACAAAGTCAGATATACAGAGATGAGGAGAGAGAGAGGAAGTGGAGCTGCCGGGATCAGAACCTGCGACCATATGGGATCCTGGTACATTCAAGGCGAATCCCTTAGCCTCTAGGTCACACCGCCAGGCCAGATTTATTTATTTTGATATGAAAGAGAGAAGAGAAGGAAAAGACAAGAGACAGAGATCTTCCATGATGTGATTCATTCCCCAGATGGCTACAACAGCCAGAGCTAGACTGGTCTAAAGAGCTTCTTCTGGGTCTCCCATGCGGGTACAGGGTCCCAAGGCTTTGAACCATCCTCTGCTGCTTTCCCAGGCCACAAGCAGGGAGCTGGATGGGAAGTGGGATCCCAGTGTGTGTAAGGTGAGGACTTTAGCCACTAGACTACCACACTGAGCCCTAAATTGTAATTAATTTGTCAACACTTTCCCTTTATGGTTAGTTTATTTTTGTGTTCTAAGAAACTTTTACCTGCCCCAAGGTTGTAAATCACTTAACCTAAAAAATGATTAAATTGGGCCCAGTATGGTGGGCTAGCGGCTGAAGTCCTCACGTTAAACTTGCCGGGGTTCCATATTGGCACCCTTATGGGCTCTGGTTCTAATCCCGGCACCCCCACTTCCCATCCAGCTCCCTGCTTGTGACCTGGAAAAACAGTTGAGGACAGTCTTGGCTCCTTGCACCAGTGTGGGAGATCCAGAAGATACTCCTGGCTCCTGGCTTTGGATCACACAGCTCCAGCAGTCGCAAATGTTTCGGGAATGAATCATTGGATGGAAGATCTTCCTCTCTGTCTCTCCTCTGCTCTGTATATCTGCCTTTCCGGTAAAAATAAATCTTTAAAAAAATAATTATTACATAACTGTTAATAACTACAAACATTTGGGAAAAGAAGATGTTTTTCCATCTTTGAGAATAAAGCCGGATGCCCTGGTTTCCAGAGGGATCTTGGTAGAAAAGAAAGTCTAGCCGAACACTTGTGTGACTTTCCCCAGCAATACTTGGCTCGGTGATTCCTCTGCCCTTGGGTCTGGCACCCAAGCAACTTCTGACTGGAAACATCTGAAAAAAAAAAAAAAAGCTTGATGTGTACTGAATCTGTGCAGCTTTGTTTTGTTTTGGCTGCTTAGACACAACATTGCAGCTACTGTCTATGTAACGTTTGCATTGTATTAGATATGACAGATGATCTGGAGTGTATGGAAAGATGCCCGCATTGCCTCCGAGACTTGAGCACCCAGTAGTCCTGGTTCAGTCCCTCACAGCTGAGTCCATATCTTCCTCCGCAGATTGGCCCAAGCTCTACTCTCCACATGCTGTACTTTCTGGTTATCTTCTTTTGCTTGTCTGTTGCTTTTCTTGTTACAACTTCTCTCCTTTGGCTCTTACAGTGTGATCACCTGCTTCAGCTGAGTACCTATGGAGTGGCTGGAGGCCTATCCTTTCTGTGCCATCCGACCCTCTCCCTTCTTGCTGGCTGTCCTCCTTTTTGATAACGTGGCAAGTGGCCTTTGCAAGCCGGTGCTTAAGCCCTAAATCCTGAGATTCATTCTGATTTGATGAGCTCAAATCTGCCTCTTTGCAACCCAAAGCCTTGGGCTGCGGACAGGGTGACAGGATCCTCTCGGGGACCAGTTGTCTGTCAGGTGCTATTTCCTGTCCTAGCAGAGGGTGGGATTAGTTTTGTGCACTGGCTAGGGTTAAACGTGGAGGAATCATTTCCTGAGATTTGCTGGGAGGGGGCTGTGGATGAGAAGGGGGGGGGCAGTGAAAAATGCCTGGGGCTGCAAAGCAGACTAAGTCCCTCTCCTCACCCCCCCCCCCCAGGTGCCGAAATTCCTTTGGATACCTGGTGAGTCCAACTCCCGATCCAACTCCCTGTTAATGGCTTGGGAAAGCAGCAGAAGGCTGCCTCAGTGTTTGGGCTCCTTCCCCGCCCCCTCACCGTGGGAGTCCAGGAAGAAACTCTTGACTTAGGCACAGGTTTGATCTGGGCCAGCCCTGGCTTTTACAGTCATTTAGGGAGTGAACCGAGAATGGATGATTCTCTGTCTTTGTAACTGCCTTCAGATAAAGAAAAGCAATTCTTTAAAAAAAATAAATAAAATAAATAAAAGAAAAGAAAAAAAGAAAAACCCACACTCAACTCCCTAGGTCCCTAGGGTAAG